AAAAAAAAAAAAAAAAAAATCAGAATAAAAGTAGGTCATTCAAAAACATCGATTCAGGAATCGAGCCCCAACCATTGAACTTACGCATGTTGACAGTGTTCAAGAATTGGTTCGTGATCCAACGACAAGTTCATTTTATCCATTAAGCCAGGAAGCAGTGCGAGCCATTGATGCTATTGAATATATTACTGATCATCTAAAGCAAAATGAGGAATTTAAAATGGTATAAATAATCTGTTTAATTTTTTTTTCATTTTTTTTTTTCGCCTTAACAAATTTACAAGAGCAATCTTTAATATTGGTGTAATTATCAGCAACTTTTTTTTTTTCTTTTAAGCAACGAGATGATTGGAAATATGTGGCAATGGTAATCGATAGGTTTCTTCTATATGTATTTGCTGGTATTACCATTGGTGGTACAGTTGGAATTCTTGGTTCAGCTCCGTATATCTTACAAAGTGTAGATCAAAAGAAAATCCTTACTGAGCTTAGAACATTGTATTCTGCCAAAGATTTATAAATGTTTTGTATATTTTTCAATTTATGCCTTATATGTGATCAAAAAAAAAAAAAAAGAAATGACATGCTGATTGAAATTTATACTGCCTTTATCTAGTCTTGAATGGGTAGTGATTTGTGCGCTAGTCTTTTCTTTTGTGCGCAATTACTGTAATCGGCCACTGCTTCCCAAAACGATTTTATGCTGTAGAAAATACATCTGTTGCAGCACTAAATTGATTAATGACTCTGTTACAACAGATTAATTTCAATACTTTTTTTTTGTTTAAATCAGAAAACTGATTATTGTACATCGACTACTGCTTACAGCAACAACTTGGCCTAAAGATTGGGAGAGAGAAACCGGTTAAGAGTATCATTTAAGCACAGTATTTAAAATTCGGTGCTCTTAGTGAACTGTCTTTACCAATTTTTGCACTCAGTAAAAGTGTATTTACTGTATTTTTTAAATGTTGACAATTGGAAGAGTGATTGAACCAAAGAAAGTAAAAAGAGTTATTTTTTTTGACATAAAACACTTTTTTAGTTTTTTTTTTACACTTAAAGATTTTTTCATACGGGATATTTTATCAACAAGTCAAACGCTTCAATACTTTTTGTTATTGTGATTGACTGATAAACGCCGATTTGTGTTTTGTGGATGCCAAATAAGTTGATCAGAAAAAGCGAGAATATAATATAAATGTTTGAATCATATTTTTTACACTGTAAATGTTATTTTGAAAAATTCTGCAAAGTTGTTCTTTTCAGTGATTA